TAATAGATCCATGCAAGTAAGGGCCTCGGAACATATTCCAAAGTGACTTCACAAGCAAATTAAATCACCTGAACCTAGAAATGTTGGTAGCAGACGTCCAAGTTCTTCGATCGCCAAACATATCGTTGAGACAGGTCACAAGATTGATGTGGCTTCTTCCTTTACACCTATTTATTACAAAACATGTTGGGGAGGGATCCTGAAATTTGTTGAAGCCTTAGCTATTAGGAAGTTGAAACCACCTTTATGTGTTCATAAACAATTTGTTATCACATTAAACCTTCCTTGGTAAATTCAACTATTGAAAAACCAAGTTCGATGTACTATTATTTTTTCGCTCTATTGATTTTCATTGTTATTCGGCCTTTAAGTCAGCCTTCCTACCTGACCCCTTTTTATTTTCTCACCCCTTATCTTCATGAGTTTTTTATATAAATACCTATGACAAGTACGTGTGTGATCAGATAGTTCGAAATGTGTTGCGCAAATACATTACACGGTTCAGACAATTTACGTCTTCTTATTGTTTTGTCGAAGTTTATAAAGGGAACTAATTGTTTTAAACAAAGATTCAGTAATCAATCTCTCCACCTAATTATATTTGACTTAAATACAGTGGCTTTATCCCACCCATTCACTTCTGTGGTTGTGTGTTAATGCATGCATAACAATAGCCGAGTTTTTTATAGATTATTCATCTTATTTAGGCCTGTTATTCTATATTTAGCTAAACTCCTATGTTAGGCGATTCTAACTGACCCCGACCGACTACTGTGACCAATATACTTGACCTGATTCACAGTCATTACATGGTATTTGATAGATTAGATTATTTTGTTTAGCTGGTTCTATCGGATCCTTAAGTCAGCCAACAAAAATTATCTCTGAATGAGTTTGAATGTTTAAATGCCACCCGAATTCCTGTTTCGTTGAGGATCCTACATAAACGTTCTGATTTACCTTCCATTTAAAGTAACACAATGGAGTCTGTGAACTCCTTTTCACTCATGTTGTCGTTATTATTCGTACTCGTGTTATTGTTATCATTTCGTTTCTTGTATGTCCGTAAGAATTCCTTAACAACCTGCGGACGATAATTATTAACTATTAGAGCTTCTTTCACGTGTTTCAATTCCTTGTTTAGGTCCTTGTTCTGACTAGTCAGTTTTATAGCTCTATCATTTAGATATTTGACTGATCCTGCCTTAACTGGGTGATATCGGATGGGGTGTTTTGAAGTCTAGATACCTGTTGAAATGTGTTGGTTTTCTGTAGACAGTAGTATCCAAGCCACTTTCTGTTCTTCATTTTATTCTGCAATCCAACATAGATAATTCTCCTTGTTCATTCTCTACCTCCTCGTAAGTGAATTGGATTGCGTCTACCACTGAGTTTCTGTTATATGTGAGGAAATTGTCGATATGTTCCGATTTCAACACAGTAAATGTGTCATCCACATATCGCCACCGTACTTTTGGTGTATGACTAAACCTTTATAAAGCCATGTTTTCTCTACTGTCCATAAATATATCTCCTACGATTGGGTGTGTTGGAGATCTCATTGCTACTCCTGTTTTTCTGTATATTTTGTTCTGAAATTTGATGACTGTGAAGGTCAGGCATAACTGTATGCCTATTATAATCTCTCTCATCAGCCGATATCTTAGCTTTTTGAGTAAGTTCTGAGTCAATATTTAGTTGACTTCTGACTGCCTCCAGTGCCACATTGATTGGTATTTTAGTATACAGACTAGTTACATCGAAGCTAACCATTTTTTTTATCCTCTTCTATGTGTAGGTCATTAAGCCTAAGTTTTAACTAGTAAGAGTTTACTAGTCTGGAATTTGAACGGTTCCTAATAGGGCACAACATCGAAGCTAAGTACTTTGTTAATTCATATGTTGGGGCATTTCTGAAGTCAACTATGGGTCTTATGGGATAACCTGGTTTATGAACCTCAATAACGCCATGAATTCTGTTACGATTATTAGTTTTAGGCATTAAATTAAACCTTTTAGACTAACCTAGAGATGATTTCAGTCGGCGTATCAGATCGACCGCAGACTTCCTGATTTCATTCATGACTGTGTCTAAGGGCTTCTTGATTTCTTCATGTGGTCCTGTTTGGATATGCTCGTTATTTTGTTGAAGTAATCCAATCTGGCTATAACTACTGTTGAACTGCCTTTGTCAGACTTAACAATTACTATATTATTGTCATTCCGTAGGCTACTCAGAGCTGAATTTTCAAGTTTTGTTAAGTTCCGCTGTCTTTTCAGTGTTACGGTACACTGTGCTCTAATCTGTTCAGCTGTTACTGCATCCACTGAGCTTAACGCTACTTCTATGCTAGGTATAACATCTTCTGGTTTTTGGATGACCTGTTGTCACGTTGAAGTTTAGTCCTTTTTCGAGTACTTTCGTCTCAGCTGAGCTTAGGCTTCTCGAGGAGAGACTGACTACTCACTTTGTTCTATCGATGTTTGATATTGTTTCATTTGTAATTTGATTATCTACTGAGAGATATTTTCCTTGCATTAGTTTGTTGGACTTTTTGATTTGATTGTTTCTGGATATCTTGAAAACAGCTGCTCTTGCTTTGTCTGATATTTGTATAAGAAGTTCATAGTCTCTGTTGTTTGTTATATTCATAAGTTTACATTTCAGTTGTTCAACTTTATTCCCGATAGTACTTAACTTCCTGATAATCCTGTGAATTCCCTCCTTGAGACAAAGTTTGCTGACATATTCTATTGCTGTTTTGATTTTGTCAGTGGATATTGGAATATGTAGATGGAAATATTTAGGAATAATTTGATTTTTCATATAACAAACATTGAAAATACGATGATTCGTGAAGTGACGCAATACCCATGTGTACCAGAGATATGGAAAATTTTGCTATCAATAAAAACAACTCATATAAGGTGACATAACTATAAAAATCAGATATTGAAGTGGAATGTGATTACCTTGATATTATTATGAGCAATAATAATTGATGCTCGAAACTTCATCAAGTAAATAGTGATACTAGATCACCTACTGTGTGTTATAAATGAAATAAACAAATCTAATATGGAATTGATTTCTACCTCAGTACCCAAGTTTTACACCTATTCCTAAATTGATGGTCAGTTGTGAGTTGATTTCCAACTGTTTTAAGTGTCATAATAATAGGTATATTTGTATAGAGACTGGTTTGAAACGTCTGCCTCTGGGTCGAAATCTTAATGGAGATAATATCACGTAACGATTGGACAAGTAAACCCAGCAGACGAGTCCTAAACAGGATAAAACAGGCATCCTGGACTCCACTACTGACCAAAAATTAATCGCCGTAACTTCATCATTTGTCTACGAATTCCATTTTCAGACGCTAATACTCCAGTTAAAACACTGAACGATATAAATAAGCGTGTGAGACAGTTGTAACTCCTTCTTGTTCTTTGTGTCATTCACATCAATTTTAATAGCCAGGTTACTATCTGGGAAGACATCAACACAGAGGAAAGCAATAAAAGATGATGAAGGAAATTCAATTACCAAAGAACAGAAACAAAGGAAACAGTGGGCCGACCACTTCAGAAAGCTCTTCAATAGACCACCACCTGCACTCCGTCCAGAAATACCACCGGCAGCCCAGCCACAGAACTACAACTGAACACAAATCCTCCAACAAAGATCGAAGTCCTGAACATCATAAAGCTAGTGAAAGGTGGGAAAACAGCAGAAGCAGATGTAATCCCTCCGGAAGCACTGAGAACAGACACAGGGACGAAAGCGGACATGCATACACCACTATTGCAGAAGGTGTGGAAGGAAGGGAAGGTATCTGCCCAGCGGTTAGAAGAAGAGCTACCTGGTCAAACATCTAGAGAAGGGTGGGCGACCTACGTGTTTACAAGAACTGGCGCGTAGTCATGCCCCTGTCCACCCTAAGCAAAATATTATGCTGCATCATCCTGGAGAGACTAAACAATGTGCTGCATTCAAAACTACGACCGGAACAGGCGGTCTGGCTGGATTCAGGAAGTACAAATCATGTGCGGATCAAATTGGAACACTGCGCAATGCATCATCATGGAACAGAGTATAGAATGGCAGTCACCCCTCTACCTCAACTTCATCGACTTTGAAAAGGCCTTCGACAGCGTCGACTTACATGTAATTTGGCAACTGCTTCAACACCATGGTTTCAGTGCCACAAACCTTTATCAGTCTCATTCAACAACTATATGAAGACGCTGCATGCCAAGTGATTAACACTGTATAGCTCATTGATGTTTTTGAAGTGAAGACAGGAGTAAAACAAGGCTGCCTACTACCACCCATGATATTCCTGATTGTGGTAGACTGGATCATGCAACAAGCAGTGTAGAGCAAGAAGATAGGCATACGCTAGACCGGGGAAAAGATCCTAGAAGATTTGGATTTCACCGATGACTTGTGTGTAATGTCACACAAACTTGAAGATCTACAGGCGAAAACTAACAAGTTGACAGAAATGGCAGGGCTGCGAAGACGGAACTTCAAGTGAACGTAGAGAAGGCAGAGGTGATGGAGATACCCAGCAACAACAAGAACAAGCACCAATCACCATCAACAGGAGAAACTGAGAGGAAGTAGCCTCTTTCACCTACCTAGGTAGCATCGTTTCAACGACAGGTGGCACAGGCACAGACTAGGACGTCAAAGTCAGGATTGGAAAGACAACAAGACAAGCGTTGAATAACCCGAAACCAGTGTGGAGATCTTCTGCACTCAGCACAAAGCCTGAACAACATCCGGACTTTCAACACTAATGTCAGTCAAGTGAGTGAAAAGACAACGTGCTATTGAAGCCCTATGTTCTACTAGGAACCCAAGGGACAAATAATAGTATTAATAAACATGGTGTTAAATGTATTTCTGTCTTTGTGATGGCAAAAGTGAATATTAAAAACAATAATTTAGATTAACCTGTATTAGAGTGACAAATTTACTTTTCCATTTTCAGTTGATAGTACTCGAAACAAAGAACAACTACGTATGGTTTGGGCTATTCCCAGTGTCTATTCAATGTACAAGTAAGTTGATTGTAAAGTATTCTTTCTAATATCCAACTCCTTATAAATATGATTTTAAGCTTACATGTTTGTTTACATAGCATAAACGTATTTCGGTTCCTCTATTAATTTCATAAACAACCATTCCATCTTCACAAATACACAGAACATAAACAGTAATACTTGAAGAGAGTTTTCATACACGAATTCCTGTTTTATGAGTTTGAAAATGCCAAGAATAACAATAAAAACAGGACAAAAACGGATCCATTTTACTCCATCTGCTTACCATAAAAAAAAATATAGTTCTACTAAGAATTAGACATACCTTAATTTATTGAAACGAAATAGAATATCAGTCAGTGGTTAAGATGGACGAAAATAGCGATAGATTAAAACCTAACCAATCCAATGCTGACGACAGAATATGAAGGTCCTGGATTAGTTCCCTGAAAGGGATCATTGGTGCGCACTGCTGAGAAGTCACATATAAGCACGAAACGGCTTCCCAATGTTCATCCAACTGATATCAGTCTGTGATGAATTCTAACCTGAAGTTAAGGAGAGATACCACAGGGGTCATGATTATATGTATGATCAATTAATGAATATGTATAATCTATTGTAAGTTTTTTCGATTAAAATAACAATAAAACTTTACATACCCCAGGCAGTTCAGTAGATAAAAGTTCACAATGATTAAGTGACACTCCTTTTCTTCTTAATACTCAAAGCTCAACTTCTCAACTACTGACATAATGACACCTTGTGGTTAAAAGTAAAAATCTTCGGTTCAAAACCCTGTGTTTAACAGGTGAGCAGTCTGATCCTTGACTGGTATTGAATGATGTCGGTTAAAGTTCCAAGAAAAAGTGAGCTTCTTCAAACACGTCAACCTTAAACTACTATAAGGAGCGCTATATTTGATATTATACATATTTGGAAATGAACTAAAAGTTATTCTCATATGTAATTAAGTCTTTAAAAGGATTCTTCAGGTATCGAATAGGACATTGAAAAAGTCTCAGGATGATTAAGAACTCTACCGTTTTTACTACTACTATATATCATCAGTTAGATATCAATCCGTACATAGTGGTAAACACCTTCAACTGACATGGCGAGTGGTAGAATTGTATGAATACTATGTGACCTCACATTTATCAACACAAAGCCCTCTATATCAGGGGAACATTCACAAATGCAGTGAAGAAAAACTTATCGACGAAATCATCCCCTTAGGTCTACATTCATGAATACATAGTAAAAGGGACAGAACATTCCAAAGTAATTTCTAGTCAAAGATCAATTGAATCTGCATGACAAAGGAAAGTCACGTTATGCGGAAATAAACAAAATGATTGGAAAATAAAAAAGGTTACGTCATATGTGGATTCATCTGCATTATTTGTTTGTGAGTAGCATTGGATGATTGTGACTTTCCTTCCTCTTTAGTTGAATCTTGAAGGAGGAGACTAGTTCCCACTGCATGAGAGCCTTCGATTTTCTTGAAGAAATCAGGATAGCCAATCTCTCCGTGTGTTCATGGTTGTCGTCTGGCTGACTGGAGTAGATTATTAACTCTCCAGTTGACAGTTTGGAGAATCCGTTCCATCTGCAGATTCTTTGCAGATTCCTAGCACTTCTATGCTATACCTTCTCATCTCTTTGACAATCTGTGCAGCCTTGCTAGGTTCATACACGCTACGAAAATTCCATGTCCTCACGTTTACTTTAGCTTTCATCGACAGAAGAGAATACATATCAGCCAATTGGCTTCGCGAAGGCTTGCACCAACTGGCGCCATTTTGTCTCCCTGATTCCAGGGAGGAATAAGTTTGTTTTTATTTTTTGTAATTTCTGTGTGCTTTGGAGTTTCTTTAGCAGTTGGATTAGTTTTCCGAGATAGGGTTACTAGCCCTTTGTCCAACGTCCCCTGTTTATCCGGGCTTAGGACCAGCAAGAAACTAGTGAACTAGTTCAGAAACTTGATGCGTCACGAAAAGCACTTCTAACAAACTACAGATATTCATCAACAGCTGCCTACGCTGGCTCGTTACTGAGGCCCACATGGCCAGAATAATTAGAATAAGCAACAAGGAACTCTAGCAACAAACCAACCAACAACCCTTCACCCAACAGATATGCAGAAGGAAGTGGAGATGGAATGAGAATACATTGAGAAGACCATTCGGAGATATCACGCACCCCGGGCAAGGCCCTCGAGTGGAACCCAGATGGGGAACGACGAGTTGGGCGTCCGAGTTGAGGATGACATGGAGATGGTGTGAAGAAAAAATGAAAGCTCATGGGCAGTTGTGGAGCGAGGTTGAAAAGACTGGAGAGAAGAGAGTGCAAATGGAGACGTGTTACTGAAGCCCTATGTTCCACTAGGAACCCAAGAGATAAATAATAATAATAATATGTGTGGCTTATTTAAAGTGATCGATAATCTACAATGGGCATAACAAAAAAAGGTTATACATAGTTCTTTTAAACCCATAATGATTATTTAAATGTTTGAGTTGTTAATGTTTAAGCCATGCCCAGATGTCTCCGCCTCACTCTTTTCGAGAGGTTTGGTCGCACTTTGAAGGACCTATTAAAAGAAACCGAATATCCTGAGTTTACTAGGTGTTCTGTTACACAGCTGAAGATGCATTTCTGTTCCCCCTTGTCAGCCATGTGATAGTGTTCATGAGTACTTTGCGTAAGCTGGCGTATGGTATGGCCAATGTATCTACCTTCACAGGAGCCAATAAATTGATATACACACACTGATGTGGCTCAATGCTCCGGCTTATCCTTCGCAATAAACGTTTTTCATAGATGTATGCACACATTTCATGGCGTCTATTGACATTAGATTCTTATCTATGAATTTCAGTCGCTATCCCTTTTAAATTAGGATTTCCCACAAGTTTTCTAGTTCATCATGGATGCTCTCGTCTGTGCATATTCTTCCTGTTCTTGAGAAGTGTGAACTGATAAGATTCTCCCCTCTGCATAAAGACACACAACTTTCAAAATTATCTTCCCGCTCTATGTAGGCTTCTTTTTGATAGATTTCTGAACTGAATTGTTATCTTTTCTTGAAGTTGGACGTCAAAGAACTGAAATTTCGATTTAGACTCTTCTTTTAGAATGAATTTGATAAAGAGATGAACACTATTGAAACTCTGATACAGGGTTTCTAGATTTGTATCCTCGTCACAAATTATAAAGGTGTCTTTTCTAGAAATGAAGCCTGCTGATTATTTACAGTAATGTCATGTTTTTCGGGCTTGCTATAAAACAGTCTGACAGGAGCGGTCGTAAAGGCGACCCCATCGCCACTCTATCTTTCTGTAGATTTCGTTGTTAAATCTAAAAGGCATGTTGGAAATACATCTGAGAAGAGGTTTCGTTACATACTGATTTGAGATTTAGTTATGTCTAGTATCGGATGAAGGTGAACACCTTCTTTGTGCATGTTAGGTAGACTATATAGTCGAGAGATCTAAGAACCTGATAGATGGTGTTGATTGTAGAGTTCAATGCTAATCAGTATTTCATCTTTCATCTTCTTCAATCTCTTGGACAATTGACGCTCAATTTTATTGTTAGAGTCCTTCTTTGTAGTCTGTTTTGAACATATATTTCCATCTCATAGAATGAGTGAAAGATTGCTTATATAGTCAGATTTGTTCAGAAGCACATTTCCAGCACCTTTGTCTGGGCAAATTATTACTAAAATTTCATTTTCTTGAAGGTTCCTTAGGTGACTCCGATGTTCCTTTGATAGGATATGTTAGTTATTGGATTTATATATATATATATATATATATATATATATATATATATATATATATATATATATATATATATATATATATAATCCATATGGCAATTTAGAACAGTTGATTTGAAATGATCAAGGTCATTAGATAAAGTCGGAATCAGGTCTTTCATTTTAATGATGCCTTTGAAGTGAAGGCAGGAGTAAAACAAGGCTGTCTACTATCACCCATGATATTCCTGATTGTGGTCGACTGGATCATGCAACAAACAGTGAGGATCGAGAAGAGGGGGATACGCTGGACCAGCGAAAAGATCCTAAAAAATTCGGATTTCGCCGATAACTTGTGTCTGCTGTCGCACAAACTCAAAGATGTACAGGCGAAAACTAACAAGTTGACAGGAGGAGCAGGGTAGCGAAGACTGGACTTCAAGTGAATGTAGAGAAGACAGAAGTGATGATGGTACACAACCAACACCACCAACAACAACAACAAGCACCAATCACCATCAACAGGAGAAACTGAGAGGAAGAAGCCTCTTTCACACACCCTCCCAGACAGCATCGTTTCAACTACGGGCGGCACAGACGAGGATGTCAAAACCAGGATCGAAAAAAAAGACAGTGGTTCATGAATCTGAAGTCAGTTTGGAGATCTTCCACACTCAGCATAAAGAACAAGACCCGGATTTTCAACACCAACGTCAAGTCTGTGCTTCTGTATGGCCCAGAGACTTGGCGTGTCACGAAAGGAATTTCCAACAAACTACAGATAGTCATCAACAACTGCTGCCTATGCTCGTTCATGAAGCTCAGGTGGCCAGAATAATGAGAATAAGCAACAAGGAACTCTGGCTGGCTGGCGAGAAACCAATGAAGCAAGAACCTATCACTCAACAAATATGCAGTGGAAGGAAGTGGAGATGTATTCGGCATGCACTGAGAAGACCATTCGGAGACATTACGCTCCAGGCCCTTAAGTGAAATGCAAAGGTAAAACGACAAGTTGGGCGTCCGAGGTGAGGGTGACATGGAGGAGATCGTGTGAGGAAGAAATGAGAGCTTGTGGGAAGTTGTGTAGCCAGGTTGAAAAGACTGGAGAGAAAAAAGTGGAATGGTGACGTGCTACTGAAGCTGTATGTTCTACTAGGAACCCAAGGGACAAATAATAATAATAATAATAATAATAATAGGTCTTTCATTTGATGAATCAAATCCTCTAAATGTACTTTTATGTTGAGCCCACCAAACTTGAATACTGTTTTTTAAAATTTATAGCCAAGTGATGAAGGGAGATAGCAACAAACTTGAATGCGTACTTTTTCGGGCACAAGGAGAAAATAGTTTTAGAGGTTATTGACTTCAGACTCTTGTTCAGTTATATGTTAACATAATTAGTGCACATCTTGGTGACGTTAATAGCGTAGTTGTCATTTCTTTCGTCTGTAAATAATTTAAAAGGATTCCCCTCTTTTTTTAAAATAGTTATACTCTATTTCAGTTTGAATATCGTGTTCAGTGCAACTAATCAGGAGAGTATATTCATGCATATAAGTGCATAAATATATATATATATCTTTTACAAACCTACCTCTTTTTCAGATCGAACCCGGTTGCTGTTCTTGCCTACTTCCTTAGTGATAAACATCCTTATGGTCTTGAAAACTACCTCAAAAACAAGTGAGTAAAGGGTTTCTTTAATCAATGCTACTGAATAAACTATGTAATACAACTTTTCCTCATTACCGGCTTCTATTAAATCGTCCATACTAAAAAAACCAAATCAAGCTGAAAGCTCTGTACACATACGCAAAGTTAACTGACAGAATGAAAGCAGCTCTCAGCATCCAACTACAAAGAAGTGGCTATGATTAAGGGTAATATACCGGTTTCTCAGTAATCCGGTCACAATAGATTGTTAAGAAAAGTTGATTGGAATTCTATGAGTGTTATCACATGTAATTCTGAAGCTGAAGCTTTGAAGTTTTTCCAAGGTTATCCTGTTGATTCAAGTAAAAATTGAACTTAAAAGAGACTGTAGAATAAAAAATAAAGCCGAATGCCTCAAGATGCCTCAATTAGTGGTTAGGCGGAATAGTACATGTATACAGGTGCCATGTTTAAATTAGAACAGTATGTTGTTTTCCAAAGACTAGAAACCTAGAAAATGACATACAGAAGTAGAATAGGGTATCATAATTCATGTTCTTAGTACTGTAGGCTTTTACATTCATGGCTGTCGATAGCTCAAACTAAGACTGACAAGTAGATGAAAAACTTCGTCCCTTCTTTGATTTATGATATTAAGTACAAGATATCCAGAGAAGAGACTCTTTTCAAAGAAATTATTTTCAAGTTGTACATCCGTATATGTATACAATAAAGGTGGTAAGCCAATTAAGTATTATGCAATTGGATTAGACAAGTTGATCAAAATGAAATAAGTGTTTTCTAAAAAGATTAAAACATTCAAATGAAATAACACCAGAAACTAATCGAAGTGAAGGTAATTATAAACGTAATAATCATGTTAAAGAAAGGATACAAGGGTTAAATTAACAGAGGGCGGATTGGAAACTAATCAGGGTCGAAAAATGTTATGAGCATAGTGAAAACAATGACAGAAGAGGCAGCGAAGAGGCAGCGAAGGCAGAGAAGACAGAAGTGATGATGGTACACAACCAACACCACCACCACCAACAACAACAAGCACCAATCACCATCAACAGGAGAAACTGAGAGGAAGTAGCCTCTTTCACACACCCTCCCAGACAGCATCGTTTCAACTACGGGCGGCACAGACGAGGATGTCAAAACAAGCATCGGAAAAGCAAGACAGACGCTCATCAACCTGAAGTCAGTGTGGAGATCTACTCCACTACACTCAGCATAAAGCTTGAACAACATCCGGACTTTCAACACCAATGCCAATCAAGTCAGTACATCTATACGGTTGAGAGACTTGGCGTGTCACGAAAGGAATTTCCAACAAACTACAGATAGTCATCAACAACTGCTGCCTATGCTCGTTAATGAAGCTCAGGTGGCCAGAATAATGAGAATAAGCAACAAGGAACTCTGGTTGGCTGGCGAAGAACCAATGAAGCAAGAACCTGTCGTTCAACAAATATGCAGTGGAAGGAAGTGGAGATGTATTGGACATGCACTGAGAAGACCGTTCGGGGACATCATGCGCCAGGCCAAGTCGTCGAGTAGAAGCGAGATGGGAAACGGAGAGTTGGGTGTCCGAGGTGAGGGTGACATGGAGGAGATGGTGTGAAGAAGAAATGAGAGCTTCTGGGAAGTAGTGGAACCAACTTGAAAATATTTCAGAGAACAGAGCGCTTTGGAGGCGTGCTACTGAAGTTATATGTTCCACTAGAAACCCAAGGGAGAAATAAATAATGCTTGTGCTTACAGATCATGAATAGGTAAAGCTTGCTTTGTTTTAAGGAGTTGGAAATGGAGAAAATGAAGGAGATTTGGGGAATTTGATTTTAAGAAAAGTACATAATCATTTTCTGAATTTTTTTGAGTGGTAGAAATCAAACAAATGTTCAAGAAAGCATGTTCCTGTATACGTGTAGAAAGCATTCGCCGGCTACACCTTGCTCCATAAGAGCAAATGAACTAATAGATATACATAAAGGAGAGCAAACGATGAAGCTTATCTTTAACACAAATGGAGAATATTTTATGGCTGGTAAAAGTCAACTGAAATCTTGCTGAGAAGAAAGTTCTATTGATTGATTTGCATAGACGATTCCTGAGTACATTTAATGCTCATGAAAAATGTTTTCTTTGAAACCGAGTGAATAAGCAGTTTTTTTTATTTCTTTCTTGTATATTATCATTCAAGAATACATTACAAATATAGAAACTGAGAAACCAAATCCATTGACTTATTCGATTCACTTTTCAGTAGTGATATATCTAACTGTTTAAGCTATGACCACTATAACTCAGATCACCAGTAAGACTAATATTGAAAAGTATTTGAATTCAGTATTTATTATTCGTAATTGGGATAAGAAGACACTAAACTTGGTGAAAAATTGGGAAAGGAAAGAAATTAGATAAGCTTTTACAAAACTAGATTATGGTTGTATTGTCTAAAGCTTAAAAATATGGACTGCTAGGTACTTCATGACTTGGAGGTTCTAAGTTTCACTTTACAGTAAGTTATAAATATAAGTTCTTAACAGTTTCAAAACTAATTTAAAATAATTATCTAATGTATTATTGCTTCTATTGTTCGGTGGTGTAGTCGATAACGCTCTCACGTTTAAAGTGATCCCTCCCGAATCCAAGTCCCGATGGGAACAATATCACTCACTGGGAGCCGACAAGTACATCCAGTAGACGAGTCCTAAATAGAACAAAATGTGCATTCTGAATTCTACTGCTAGCCACTGCTCATCATTACTATAAATTATCCAATACATCTGAATTTCGATAGTTTTCTAGTTGATATACATTTATCTACAATCACGTACATATTTTTAGAAGTGGAAAAACGCCTTCTAAAAGTCATATATTTCATTATATTGAAAAAAGCGAAGGTAAATACCAATAAAATCCTCCCAGGAATAGATAAAAAGTGACAGAAAACTTTTACAATAGAAAAATAAGTGAATACTATTGTTTTACTTAACTCTCATTATACTTCACTGTAATGTACGCAATTCTTTCCATGTAAACATAAAACAGGAGAACTATTTGAAAATTTCTCCGTATTCAACAATTTGATGTTTGGGGTAGTGTGTACAAACAAAAGAATATTCACAAAGTGACATGCAGTTGATTTCACCACATGGACACACCAAAAACCAGGTCAACTTCATCTCAATGTGAAGTAAGTGGAGATCCAGATTGCCTGATACAAGATCAAGAAGAGGAGGAGATGTTGGTTCACACCTCTCACTATCCAGTGCCAGAAACCCACCCTCAAAATCAAGTTGAAGGCCTTCACAGTTGTCATTGATAGACCACACTTCGAGTTCGACACCAAGAACAGAAACTGAATCATGAAACTACAAAGGGCATCTTCACATCAGTTGTTCATCAGGTGAAGATGGGAGATATTGAGTGATATCCCTGAAGGATCGTGTGTGGGAGAACACTGGAACTCTTTGGAAGCTAAATGGAAGGTAACGTGTATAACCGTGTTTGGAAGTAAGTAGAAGCAAGACAATGAATGGAATGGAACTCGACAGACAAATGGAAGCAGATAGGGGAGTGAGAGGGAGACGGTTAGGCAGATGATGAACCAGTGAAGTGCAGTTGAGTGCATGAATGGACAGCGAGAAGAGGAAGTGAGTACAACGTATAAAACACTGGAAAAGGAGGTGAGGAAGAGTTCACAGAAAGACAGAAGATACTTCTACTACACATTATCAAGTGAAGCAGAACAGGCTGCTGGTAGTAGAGACAGATACATGACAACATTATATCAAATAACCAGTTTTGCTATCTGACAGGGAAGAGATCAACGCAGATGAAACCAATGAGAGATAGTGAAGGAAGCCAAGTTACCAAAGAGGAAAAACAAAGGAGTCGATGAGCTGACGACTTCAGAAAACTCTTGAATCGACCGCCACTACAATTTTCGACTAACCCAGAAATACCACCAGCAGCCGATCCACAGAATTATCAGGTAACTCATGCACTCCGATGAAAGTAGAAGTTCTGTAAGCGATAAAGTTTCTGAAATCCGGAAAAGTAACAGGACCAGATGGAGTCCCCCCGGAAGAAGTGAAAACAGATGTACATACACCAGTGGACACAATTGCACTACTATTGAAAAGGGTTTGGAAAGGAGGAAGGAAGGAAGGAAGGAAAGATACCTGCCGACTGATTAGAAGCAGGGCTACTTTGACAAACTCCCAGAGAAGAGTGGGTGACCTAATCGTTTGCGAGAACTGAGCGGAATTATGCTGCTTTCCACTCCATGCAAAATATGCCGCACCATCGTGGACAGACTAATAGATGCACTGGATTCAAAACTACAACCGGAACAAACTGGCTGGATTTCGATGGTTTTCTAGTTGAACTGGAAGAACAAATCATGTGCCGATCAAATTGCAACACTACGCAATACAACATCATGTAAGAGAGCATAGAATAGCAGTCAACTGGATCTTTACCTCAACTTCATACACTTTGAAAAGGCCTTCGATCGAGGCGTCGACTGAGAAGTCATTTAGCAGGCAGCTGCTTCACTACTACGGTTTCAGTGCCAAAAACCTTTTCCAACCTCATTCAACAACTAAACGCTACAGGATGCCACATTCTGAGTGATTCACAGTGGAATGCTCAGTGACACCTTTGAAGTGAGGACAGGTGTAGGACAAGGCTGTATAATATTCATCAACCATGAACTTCCTGATTTTGATGGACTGGACTGGATGATGCAAGAAACTGCAAGAGGCGAGAAAAGGATCATGCACTGACTGGATTGATGAAAAGACTCCAGAATACGATTTGGATTTCTCAGATGACGATTTATGTCCAGTGTTTTGTCACAAACTCGAAGATCTACAGTCAAAGACTGACAAGTTGACAGGAGAGGCGAGGCAGCAAAAGAAGGCGGAACTGCCTTCAGGTGAATATAGCAAAGAGGTGAGGAAGTTACCCAACCAGGAATAACAACAACAACAACAAGCACCAATTACAATCAACGGGAGAAACCTAAACGAAGTTGTCTCTTTCACCTACCATCCTCGGCGGCATCATTTCAACTCCAGATGCCAAGTCGAAAGCAGGATTAGAAGGACAGCAAGACAAGCCTTCATTAATCTGAAATTATTGGGAGATCTACTCCACTACAATGCACTAAGCATAAAACATGAACCAAATCTGAATTTTCAACACCAATGTCAGTCAAGTCAGTGTTTCGATATGATGATTCAGAGACATGGGACTTCACCCAAAACACTGGCAACTAGCTACTGACATTCATCAACACCTGCTTTACGCTGCCTCGATACTGAAGATCAGACGGTCAGATTAATATGAATAAGCAAGAAGGAAATCTGGTTGGTTGGTAACGAACCTACGAAGCAAGAACCTATCGCTCAACAAATAAGCAGAAGAAAGAGGAGACGGATTAGATTGAATTTGACATACACTGAGAAGATCGGTTGGTGACATCACTCACCGGTCCTTCGAGTGGAACCCAAGTTGGGGTGGACAAGTTGGGGGTCTGAGGATGACATGGATGAGCCAGGCTGTAAGGACCGCTGAGAAGAGATTGAAATGTCGATGTGCTAATGAAGCTGTATGTTCCACTACGAGCTCAGGGGGCAAATAATAACGAAGATAGAACATTTTAACTAAGCACGGCAACTTCCTGAGTCTGTGGTAATGAAGCATGCAAATGGTAATCAATCAAATAATTCAATAATGATAGTAATAGTTGAAGTGTTTGTCTTAACGATGATAGGAATCCTGAGACCAACATGGTATTGCAAAACAGTAAAACTTAAGGTTGCTTAGTACCGAAAATGAAACATGTAAATAATCGGCGCCTAGGCAATTAGGACATCTATGTGAAAGAGGTGAAGAAAAGTAAATGTGTAGAAAAACTTAATTCTTCCTAGAAATTGATTGGTATATTTCCTCTGATCGATGAGGAAATAAGGGATTGCGTATATCGGTTTCTGCACACAAGGCAACGATTGTTTCCTCTAATTCTCAGCCATATGTAACATCATTATTGTTATTATTGTCACTGATTGTCCCTTGGGTTCCTATTGGAAAATAAGGCTTCATTAGCACATCGACATTTCAATCTCTTCTCAGCGGTCCTTACAGCCTGGCTCATCCATGTCATCCTCAGACCCCCAACTTGTCAACCCCAACTTGGGTTCCACTCGAGGGACCGGTGAGTGATATCGCCAACCGATCTTCTCAGTGTATATCAAATTCAATCTAATCCGTCTCCTCTTTCTTCTGCTTATTTGTTGAGCGATAGGTTCTTGCTTCGTAGGTTCGTTACCAACCAACCAGATTTCCTTCTTGCTTATTCATATTAATCTGACCGTCTGATCTTCAGTATCGAGGCAGCGTAAAGCAGGTGTTGATGAATGTCAGTAGTTAGTTGCAAGTGTTTTGGGTGAAGTCTCATGTCTCTGAATCATCATATCGAAACACTGACTTGACTGATATTGGTGTTGAAAATCTGGATCTTTTTCTTTTTGCTGAGTGAAGTGCAGCAAATCTTCAAACTGATTTTAGATCCTGACTTTGACGGCCTCATCTTTGCCTCCTGCAGTTGAAACGATGCTGCCTAGGTAGATGAAACAGTCCATATTTCATATACATACAAGAATTCCCCTTGAATATTATTGTGGTATGTGATTGGTGGTTTCGGCCACTTTCATATTATTTACTATACGACCAATATTACTATATGCGACAGAATTGGAATACGTATTGACTTCCGTAGTCCCTTTCCTAACCATGAGAGGGCGGGGTAGCTCAATAGGGCGTTTGTTAAGCTCCTCACTTGTACGCTTGATATAGCGTTCTCCACACAAGCAGCTAAATTGCTCAAAATGAACAGCTTGTCTTTTATTTGAGCATTAATGATCTAATGACTTGAAAATTCTCAGCATGTATTAGCACTATTCAAGTTTTTTTCCAAAAATTTTGATATTATCTTGTTCTCTAAGCTGGATATATTAACCATAAAGCTTCCATTGTCATTTTAGATAATACTGAATTGCAGCCTAATGAATCATGATTTCTTTTGAATAGGCATTTGTTTAGATCCATTACTTAGTGTGCTCATGTATCTCTACATCAAAATTTACCAGGGGGTAAATTTATTTATATCAACATCCTTATACACGTACTCTAAAGTGTTTTCTTTTCAAATTATTAAAACAGATCCTTCTAACTCTAAGGTTCTTCTATAACGAATCTACACAAAGTTATATCGTTTATTCTCATAATCTATCACAAATACACCTGAATCCATTAACTTATTCAGTCTACTTATAAGTAGTATTGTGTACAGAGAAGAATTTTAACTTAACAGAATATTTGAACAATGACTTATATACATCCAATAAATTTTTAATTGACATGATTTTATGAGTAAAGAATTCTAAAAGCTTTTTTTTTATAAAAACAAAGTAACAACAAGAAAATAAGCAATTACTTCCATTGTTTCAATTCATCACTCATAATTTGTTCCTTTCTGTATATTGACAAAAAAAAAAGTCATTTAGCAACCGAGGTGAAATGTGAATTTTCAGCAATGTCAGATTTCGATAATTCAACAATATGCGCTTTAATTACAATCTGCATTGATTTGAATGGTACAAGAAATGATTTATTAAAGGTAGGTTAATGAAATATTTGGTTTCCTAATGTAATTATTATTACTATTATTATTATTATTATTATTATCACCAGTGAATAGGTAATTTCTCATGGATTATTTTATATGAATTTTACTAATTTCACATTAATATTCATCAAGGATTGACATCATTTATAGAATGACCAAAAATGTGGGAGCATTGAACTTCTCATATTGTCCTAGTAAAAAATTTTTCTAAAGTTTTTCTAAGGCTATACAATTGTATTGATATATACCATAAACATATTATTTTTCCCCTTGAGTTCATTCATAGTGGAACATACAGATTCAGTAGCACGTCTCCATTACAATCTATTCTCTGGGGTCTTTTGAACCTTGCTTCTCAACTGCTCACAAGCTTTCATTTCTTCTTCACACCATCTCCTAAATGTCATCCTCCCCTTGGACGCCAAAATCGTCGGTTCTCTTTTGGATTACACTCGAGGTCTTGGTCTTGCCTTCTCAGTATATGTACAAACCAATCTAATCCATTTCCACTGTCTTCAACTGCATATTTGTTGAGTGATAGCTTCCTTGCCGGTTCGTTACCAGACAGCCAGGGTTTCTTGTTGCTCATTCTTTCTGGCCATCTGATCTTCAGTATTGAGCCACAGTAGGCAGTTATTGACGAATATCTAAAGGTTGTTGGAAATGCTTTTCCTAACGCATCAAGTCTCTCAGTCACCACATAGAAGCACTCACTTGACTGCATGAGTGTTGAAAATACCAATGTTGTTCAAGCTTTATGCTGAGTGTAGTGGAGTAGATCTCCAAACTGATTTTAGATTAGTGAAAGCCTGCCTCGCTTCTCCTATCCTGACTGGCTTTGACGTCCTCGTCTGTGCCGCGTGTCGTTGAAACGATGCTGCTAGGTAGGCGAAAGAGATTACTTCTTTCGGGTTCCTTCCGTTAATGGTGGTTGATGCTTGTTGTTGATGCTGTTGTTAGTTGGGTATCTTCATTACCCCTATTTTCACTACATTAATTTGAAGTCCTGTCTTTGGTGCCTGTACTGTCAACTTGTTAGTTTTTGCCTGCAGATCTTTGAGCTTGTGCGACATTAAACACAAACCATTGTCGAAATCCAAATCTTCCTCTGGGGTCTTTTCATCTGTCTAGCCAGCGTATAACCCTCTTCTTGCTCCTCACTTTTTGCTGGATGATCCAGTCCATTACTAAACAAGTGCTAAAAGCAACCAAAATCAAGAATGAAGAGCAATTGTGTAATAATCTTTTGGACACTGGAAATAATGAGTAAGGTAAGGAGTTTGACATGGTGAAAATTGTTAGTAGATGATAAATGTCATTGTTGATTGTCCGCTTGATAGACAGATGTAAAGAAAGCGAAGAATGAGACAAGGGTCATAATGAAGATGATAATAAACTAACTAGTTATGAAGAAATCGAAAAAGTTTGTAGGTATTAAGACCATGGTAAGACAAGAGGTTGAACATACTTCCTTTGAATGCAGAGATCAGATTTGAATCGATGAATTTCCAGTGCTTCTGCTGTGGACAACTGTCAAAGGCAAACACCTTTTGAGCTAATCCATTTGCATAAGAACAAGAAATGTATCAGCAAAGAAGAAGCATTTCTTTTCAACGACTTCATTATCAAGTTGTATAGTCGTATTTATATTCGGTAAAATGATAGATAATCGCACTAAAAAGTTGATCAGTCAATATACAAAATATACAGTAGGTGTAGGTGGTGGTATTTGTTCAAGTGGAAGAAATAGAAAATGGGTCAACGAATAAGGAATGAATTAATATTAAACAGTGAAATATGGGTTAAGTGTTGTCAATGAAGTGAGAATTGATGATAATGATGATAATTAGTATTATTATTATTAGTCCCTTGGGTTCCTAGTGGAACATAGGGCTTCAGTAGCACGCCTCCAGTGACCTCTGTTCTCTGAGATCTTTTGAACCTGGTCCCACGACAGCCCACAAGCTCTCATTTTCTCCTCGCACGACCTCCTCCATGTCACCCTTGCCTCGGACCTCCAACTCGTCGCTTCCCATGGGGATTCCACTCGAGCAACTGGCCTGACGCGTGATGTCCTCAGTCGGCCTCCTCAGTGCATGGCCAATCCATCTCCACTTCCTCCTGCATATTTGTTGCGTGATAGGTTCTTGGTTGGTTCGTTCCCAGAGTTCCTTGTTGCTTATTCTTTCTGGCCATCTGATCTTCAGTAGCGAGCCAGCGTAAGCAGTTGTTGATGAGTGTCTGTAGTTTATTGGAAATCCCTTTCGTGACGCGCCAAGTCTCTGAGCTATACAAGAGCACTGACTTGACGTTGGTGTTGAAAATCCGTATCTTGTTCCACATGCTGAGTGCAGAAGATCTCCACACTGGTTTCAGGCTAATGAACGCCTGTCTTGCTTTTCCGATTCTGACTTTGACGTCCTCGTTCGTCCCGCCTGTAGTTGAAACAGTGCTTCCTAGATAAGTGAAGGAGGTTACTTCCTTCAAGTTTCTCCCGTTGACGGTGATTGGAGTTTGTTGTTGTTGTTGGAGTTGTTGATGCGGTATCTTCATCACCTCTGTCTTCTCTATATTCACCTGAAGTCCCGTCTTAGCTGCCTCTTCTATCAACTTGTTAGTTTTTGCCTGCAGATCTTCAAGTTTATGTGACATCAGGCACAAGTCATCGGCGAAATCCAAGTCTTCTAGGTTCTTTTCCGTCGTCCAGTGTATCCCCCTCTTCTCGCTGCCTACTGTCTGTTGCATGATCCAGTCCAGTCGACCACAATCAGGAATATCATGGGGGATAGTAGGCAACCTTGTTTCACTCCTGTCTTCACTTCCAGTGCAAAAGCATCACTGAGCTTCCCATTGTGAATTACTTGGCATGTGGCATCTTCATATAGTTGTTGAATGAGGCAGATGCAGTTTTGCGGTACTCCGTAGTATTGAAGCAGTTTCCAAATTACTTCTCGGCCGACGCTGTCAAAGGCCTTCTCAAAGTCGATGAAGTTAAGGCAGAAATGATGATAATAAAAGAGAAATATACCAAAGTGAAGTGAAATGAAATTGACAAATGTAAATAAAATGAATTGTTAAGGCCAAAGTAGAAATATTGGTTTCACAAAACGTTTTTGAATGCAAAGTTTCGGTTTTTGTTCATATATAGCTAATGCCTTAGTTATGCATAAGTGGTAGAAATGTAGACCTTTGGAGTAGTTCAATTTCACTTTGCTGGTTACCTTAATGTATTAATCTTGAGGTTCTGAATAACCTAACTCTACTAGATGTTCACATTTGAATGAAATCGTTTTCCTTTGCTCGCCTTTGGTAAGCCTAACCGGGTATTGTTTAGCAACACGTTTTCGGATGGTCCACTTACAACGTCCTATATAGTCAACTCCAAAGGAGCATGTGAATTTGTTGATACACATAGATGTGGACATAGGTGTTAGCCTATCTTTCACGTATTAGTGAATCAGACGACGGCTGGAGAAAATCAGTCTCAGTCTAGTGGCATAAAAGCTACTACTGATACACCTTAACGGATGTTTTTCTAACACTTCGGCTGTGATGTCTCCTTTGAATTCCAGATTCGTGGTCAAGATTTCCTTAGGAACTGTAATAAGATGAAAACTGATTTGTTTCGTCAGATTTTTATCGGTAAATCTTATAGGGTATCCATTATTAGATAGTGTTGTACTAAGAATTTCGATTTCTAAATTTTGTATAAAAGGAGAAACTAACAAGGAATATGACCGCTTAGAAACTACAAACATTTATCATATAATTGTGTTCAGTATTCAAGAATATTCTCTTTCAACCTACGCAATGAAAACGTTTGAACCTTTAATAGAAAAGCAATATTTACTACAAATGAAAAACACTTTATGTGGTCCACGTTGACCTTCGTCACATCTGAGTAATTCTTCAACCCTTATCTATGGTGTCTAAAAGGCTTCCGTTGGAAACCACTCGTCAGACAAGATCATCAGGTGCGATCTCTGATATAAACATGTCATGAGTTACTGAAATATACTCCTGAACATATTGAATGGTTAGAAGTCACTCAGACGGGTCTATAGTCTTGGATAGGCAGATCAGATTGATCATTGTATTAAAGGTTTATTGATCCATTCAAGTCAGCCAGGCATGTGCAGGTAGTCTAAGCGATTCGGCTGTGGTAACTTTGGCTTCAAGTGGTAGAAATTGCTATCGGATATTCAGATCATTATAACTTGGATGATGAAGTCTAGAGGTCAGTCTGTGTGGTTTCTAACTACTCAACTTCTTCAGTAGTACATTTGGAAATATCAGTCAAAAGTACTTAACATTCTATTGAATCGTTGACTTCTAGTCATACAAAGTATAAACAATCCTTCTCCAGTAAGCCTAGACAGGTGATTTCACAATTATTCAGAAATTTTTTTTAGGCATTAAATTGATATGTAATCTAGTGAATAAACGGCTTATAATGCTGACAGAATGAATGCTAATAGCAAAAAGAGGCACTTCACAATTCTTTGAAAGTTGATTCGACCTGTAGATAATTAAAATATTTGGTTATCATATCAACAGGTTTGATATTTTAAAAAATTTATCTACTTTATTCAAGCATACAACTATTCTTGAACATTTAACATACAGGATTGAAACATTGAATATTTAATTAGGCGCGACAAAAGAATTTAATATAATTTTGATTACGTTTGGTCTGATATTTACAAAGATTGAATATATTCTTACTGTGCTCTATGTAAATTGAATTATAATATAGGCAGTATAGTTTTTGGAAAATATTCTTTTTATCATGATTACCGCCGTACTTGAACATTTAAAATAAAATGGTTAGGAAGTAAATTTCATAAAATGAAAGCCAAAGGTATAAGAAATATTACTAGTTATATTTATTTAAACATTATGGTACATTGACTAAAACAATAAATGGAGCCCATTTCAAATTAAGTTGAGTCTTTCTGCTCATATGTGTATCTATTTCATGAATAACAAAA